ACGGGGGTCGCTGGTGCCCATGTCCAGCAATCACTGTGCGAGGGGCGGGGTACACCCTGGACGGGTCGCAAGTCCATCACAGGGCCACATAGAGACAAACGAGACAAACAACCATTCACTCTCTCACTCACACCTAGGGACAATTTAGAGTTACCAATCAGCCTAACATGCATGTTTTTGGACTGTGGGAGGAAACCGGAGTACCCGGAGAAAACCCACACATGCACGGAGAGAACATGCAAACTCCACCCAGAAAGGCCCCTGGACCGGGGTTTGAACCAGGGACCTGCTCGCTGAGAGGCAGCAGCTCTACCAGTTGTGCCACCGTGCTGCGCAAAACCTCACCCTAAACCCAAAGAGAGAAATCCTTCCTTTTCTGACTGAGGACCTTGACCTCAGATTTGGAGGTGCTGATTCTCATCCCAACTGCTTCACAGAGCTGCAAATAGCTCCAGTAAATGCTGAAGATCATGGCACAATTATGCCAACTGGACCATATAATCGGCAAATAGCAAGGATGGAATCCTGAGGTCACCAAACCAAAATCCTTCCGTCAACAGGTTGCACTGAAAAATTGTGTCCATAATAATTATGAACAGAATTGGTGACATCATGTAGCCCTGGCAGAGTGTAAATGCCACCCTTATGGGGTCCAACTTACTGCCAGAAATGCAAAATAAAAAGTCTTACATCGCTTGTATAGGGACTGAACAGCCTGTAAAAACAGGCTCCTAATCCCATACTCTGGGAGCACCCCATGCTTCCCGAGCAACATGGTCCAACGCATCCTCCAAGTTGACAAAACACAAGTAGACTGGATGGGCAAACTCCCACGACTCCTTCCTTGAGGATCTTAGTGAGGGTAAAGAACTGGTCCAGTGTTCCACAACCAGGACTGAACCCCCATTGTTCCTCCTAGATCCAAGGTTTGACCAACGATCATAATCGCTTCTCCAATACCCCTTAATATACCTTACAAGGGAGGTTAAGGACAGTGATGCTCCTATAAATGGAGCACACCCTCCAGTCCCACTTTTTGAAGAGGGGATCCACCACCCCAGTTTGCCAATCCAGTGGCACTGCCCCCAATGTCCACGTGATGTTGCAAAGGCATGTCAACCAAGAGAGCCCCACAACATTCAGAGCCTTAAAAAATCAGAACAGATCTTGTTCACCCCTGGAGCCCTGCTGCCGCAAAACTTTTTAACTACCTTGGTGATCTCAGCCATGGTTATGGACAGACCAACTCTGAAGTCCCCAGACTCAGCTTCTATCATTAAAGATGTGCTAATGGGATTGAAAAGATCTGAGAAGTATTCCTTCAACCTCCTGGTGATATTATTAGTTGAGGTCAACATCAACTTACCTTCACTGAACACAGAATTAGTAAAGCGCTGCTTTTTCCTCTTCAATTAACTCATAGATTGCCAGAATCTCATTGGAACTGGCTGAGAGTCTATGCAAGGCCTCATCAAACTCCTCCCATATCCAAGCTTTAGCCTCAGCAACAGAGAAGGTTGTGGACAGCTTAGCCCCGCAGTACTCCTCATCTGCCTCAAGAGTCCCACCAGCCAACAAGGGCCGATAAGATTCCTTCTTCAGCTGCCCTAATCCAGGGTGTCCACCACCGAATTTTAGGATGGCCACCACTAGAAGCACCAACAACATTGTGGCCACAGCTCAAGACAGCCACTTCAACCACAGAGGTGCAGAATATGTCCCACTCAGACTCAATGTCTCCTGCCTCAGCTGGGATGTATTTAATGCTCTCCTGGAGGTGCGACTTGAAGACCTTTCTGACGGGTTATTTTGTCAGGCATTCCCAACAAACTCTCAATACACATTTGGATCTACTTGGTCTGTCTGGCATCTTTCCCCACCATCTCATTCAACTCACTATCAGGAGAGAGTGATGATTTGAGCAGACCTGAATGGACATGTTAGTGAAGGAAACAGTGGGGAGGAGGAAGTAATGGGTAGGTTTGGTGTCAAGGAAAGAAACCAGGAAGGACAGATGGTGGTGGATTTTACAAAGAGAATGGAAATGTCTGTAGTCAACACATATTTCCAAAAGATGGAGGATCATAGAGTGACCTTTAGGAGTGGAGGAAAGAGTATGCAGGTAGACTACATTCTGTATAGAAGAGGAAACCTGAGGGAAATTGGGAAGTAAGGTTGTCACAGGGGAAAGTGTGGCCAGACAGCATCAGATGATTATGTGTAGAATGACTGTTGTTGTGAAGAAAAGAAAAAAGTAAAATCAGAGAAGAAGACCAAATGGTGGAAGCTGAGAAAAGAAAAATGTGATAAATTCAGAGAGGAGCTATTAAAGGCTCTGGGTGGTAAGAAATATATTCCAATTGACTGGGCTACTACAGCAACAGTAATTAAAGAGACAGGTAGGAAGGTACTTGGTGTGTCATCTGGACAGAGAATGGATGAAAGGAAACCTGGTGGTGGAATAGTGAAGTACAGGAAGCTATTCAAAGAAAGAGGTTAGCCAAGAAGAAATATGGCAGTGAGAGGACTGAAGAGAGGAGACAGGAATATAAGGAAATGGGACACAGAACAATGAGGGAGGTAGCTAAAGCAAAGCTAAAGGCAAATGATGAGATGTATAAGAGGCTGGACACTAAAGAAGGTAAGAAGGACTGTAAGGAGGTGTGGAATGACGAGACAGTTATCAGGCTGGACAGGCTGTACAGCAGTTTAGGCTTGTTAAACATAGGAATTGTAATGTTCTAACAAGTGAGGCGAGTGTGACGGGAAGATGGAAGGAGTAATTTGAGGAGCTAATGAATGAAGATAATGAAAGAGAAAGAATGGTAGAGATCAAAGAAACTGTGGACCAGGAACTGGGAAAGATTAGTAAGGGTGAAGTTTGAAAAGCGCTGAAAAGAATGAAGAAGGGGAAGGGATTAGAACCTGATGACATACCAGTGGAGGTTCACAAATGTCTTGGGGAGATGGCAGTGAGGTTTTTGACTAAAACATTCAATGGCATATTTGAGGGTGAGAAAACGCCTGAGGAATGGAGAAGAAGTGTGCTGGTGCCCATTTTTAAGAACAAGTGTGATATACAGAGATGTAGCAACTACAGGGGAATTAAGTGGATGAGTCACAAAATGAAGATTTGGGAGAGAGTTGTGGAAGTTAGACTCAGATGAGAGGTGACAATGTATGAGCAGCAGTATGGTTTCATGCCAAGAAAGAGCACCACAGATGCCATTTTTGCTTTGAGGATGCTGATGGAGAAGTACAGAGAGTGTAAGAAAGAATTCCATTGTGTATTTGTGGATTTAAAACAAGCATATGGCAGGGTGCCAAGGGAGGAAGTGTGGTATTACATGAGTAAATCTGGAGTGGCATAGAAGTATGATAGACTGGTACAAGACTTGTATGAGGACAGCAGAACAGTGGTGAGATGTGCTGTAAGAGTGACAGATAGCTTCAAGGTGGGATTGCATCAAGGATCGGCTCTGAGTCCCTTCTTGTTTGCTCTGGTGATGTACCGACTAACAGATGAGGTCAGGCAGGAATCCCCGTGGACTATGATGTTTGCAGATGACATTGTGATCTGTGGTGAGAACAGGAAACAGATGGAAGAGAACTTGGAGAGGTGAAGATGCATTTGAAAGAAGAGGAATGAAAGTCAGCTGTAGTAAGACAGCGTACATGTGTGTGAATGAGCGGGAGGCCGGTGGAACAGTGATGCTACCAGGAGCAGAGGACTCAAAGATTTGTGACTTCAAGTACTTGGGGTCCACTGTCCAGGAAAATGGGGAACGTGGTAAAGAGGTGAAAAATAGAGTACAGGCAGGATGGAATGGATGGAGAAAATTTTCAGAAGTGATTTGCAACAAAAGGTATCAGCAAAGGTCAAAGGAAAAAATTACAAGACAGTTGTGAGACTATCTACTGTATGTTGTATGGTCTGAAGGAAGTGGCATTGACAAAAAACAGGAGAAAGAACTAGAAGTAATGGAAATGCAGATGTTGAAGTTCTCTTTAGGAGTGACAATATGGATAAGATTAGAAATGAGATCATCAGAGGTACATCGCAGGTTGAACAACTGGGAGGTAAAGGTAGAGAGGTCAGACTGAGATGGTTTGGAAATGTCCACAGGAGGGACAGTGAATATATTGGTAGAAGGATGTTAGAAATGCACAAGATTTTTTTTAATGAACTGCTGGGTCTTCTGAGTAACCTTGGGTCAGAAATGGATGGACAATTTCATGTTCTGTGTTTGAATCATTGTTCCTATTGGTTCTGTTTAGTGTTGAGTTGGTGTTTATATTCAAGTTCTTGTTAGTGACTGTAAAAAAATAACACCATAATTCAGATGTGTCTAATTTATACAACAGTAAAAAGCATGTTCTTTGAAGGGCACGTCAGATCTGTGAAACTAATTCACTGAATTAATCAAAAGACATTATAGAGTTCTTAAAGTATAAGAATGTCATATACCTGTACAGTATCATAAAGACCAAGCTAAAGGTGCGGAAGCAAACAAAAAGTTACGTCAAGATTAAATTATTTTCTTTTCTATTGTCTTGGCATCAAGAAAAACAAATTCAATCTAATACAATTCTTAACAACCAGCAACTAAAAACTCACAGTTCTTCATGGTTAGAAAACGCAGCTCTTTCATCAGACCTCGGGGGGGGGGGGGGGGGGGGG